TCACCCAGCAGCTCCTTAGAAGAAAGACCTGGCAAGCTGCTTCAGTAAAGATTACAGCCAAGAAAACCCTATGGAGCGGTTCTGCTCTGTAACACATAGGGTCGCCATAGCTTGGAATTGACTTAATGGCAGTGGGTTTAGTTTGGTTTTTTAAATAGCTTTTATTCCCTTTGTTTCTCCCATCTTTCAATTCTTTGGCATTGTTTTCTTTTTTCAAAAGAAAGCCTCCAAGAACTGAACCTTGAGACCTTTTCCCTTTTTGAACTATTTCCTCACTTATTCATACCAAGTTTTCTGGTAGGGTTAATTTCGTTTAAATGAGTGTTGTCCTTGTAAAGGTTAATACTTCTACTGTTATGTGGAGACTGAAATAAGAAACAGAAACTTAACTGAATAAGGAAGTAAAAGTGGGTGTTTGCTGTGCACACTGTTAAGACAGGGAAGGTTGCCAAAAAGAAGGAATAATTTTGTTTTCCAAATTCTTTCCTAGATCTCTAGAAAGAGAGTAAGAATTATAGTAAGGTGATGGTGCCTCCGGAGGGGTTTCCTGGTCACTGCCTTTCACATTTTGGGGTGGAGGGCTTGATGCTTGGGTGTCTTTGTTTCAAGAAGGCACAGGAACAAATGCTTTTTGTGAAATGTCATCTGGGCCAGCTCCTTTGTTCAGGGCACTAGGAAAGCCAGTGGTCTCGGGCACTGTGCCAGCCTTAATCTAGTTGTAAAATTAACTCGAGATTTCACTCCATAGTGAGATGAATGTTATGGATTTGTTAATGGTAAACGATAAATATTCATTTATCCTATACCTCTCATACCTTTAAAGAGCCACACGTAGCATGTCATTTGATTTCGGAAAAAACTTCCTTGCATTTTCGCACCTATCTCTCTGCCAATTTCCACTTTTTATAGACAGGGTTTTTGGAAAAGCTGTTCTCTGTGAATGGAGGTTAGGGTGCCGTTTCTCAGAGTTCTTTTTTAACCCCAGAGAGCTCTGATTTTTCATCTTGCAGAGCATGAGGAGCAAGGTAGCACCTCTGCTTCCCTGGCACTTCCTTTGAGCTTTGCTTCCATGTCTTCTTTTACGGTTGGTCTAGGACCAGTTGCAGAATTGGATTCGGGGTAACGTGAGTACATGTGCAAGTTCTGTTTTCATATTTGATGAGATGGATAAATTGCACCCTGGGCTCATCGATGCAATCAAGCCATTTCTCGACTACTACGAGCAGGTTGACGGGGTGTCTTACCGGAAGGCCATCTTCATCTTTCTCAGGTCAGCAGGAGGTGGTTTCTTGGGCTGAGAAGGGAGGCTGGCACATAAGCCTTTCATTCTCCCAGTGCTAGGAAGAGGTCCTGGCAACTGTTAGCATTCTGTTACCAGGGACAAAAATGACAGTCTGGCAAAAATGACTTGCTCACTTCTTTTACTGTTGGATTGCTGGTATCTGCATGGCATAAAGTGTGGGTAGGAGAAAATAAAGAAATAATCGCTGATAACAAGCAATGTCAGTAACTGCACTTAAAATCCTTATTGGTATTTCTGAGGGTTATAAAAAGCCGTATCTGGCAAATTCTGAAGAAAACAGCTTTTAAACTCCTTGAGAGAAAACACTATTTTTACTTCATTTAGTAGCACGTAGCAAGTATTCTTTAATTAAGAATAGGGCAGGTACATTTCCTTTCTAATTAGATACAGAAGTCTGAATAAAAATGTGATTTTAATCTGTTTCTTCGTCAAACTCAGCAACGCAGGTGGGGACCTCATAACTAAGACAGCTCTTGACTTTTGGAGGGCAGGGAAGAAGAGGGAAGACATTCAGCTGAAAGACCTGGAACCTGTGCTATCTGTTGGAGTCTTCAATAACAAGCACAGTAAGTCTACACAGGATGAGAAACCCCTTAACTCTGCCAACAGTCTTCCCTTTGAGTATTTCACAAAACCACATAATCCTGCTCGCTTCTGACTTTGCTAAAGTAGCGACTTTTTCTTATTCTATTATAGAAGCCCTTTAAAAGGGTATCCAGCTGATTCTCACATCAGGCTATATCACACTTGACAAAAAGAATCTCTCTGGAGGGGTAAAGACTTGAGAACTGTCCTGTGGGCTGTGATTACAGTGGCCCCTGCAAGAGCAGTGAGCTTGGCCAGGTGATGGGCAAGAAACCCAGATGTATTTCATTTTGCAGGTGGCCTGTGGCACAGTGGACTGATAGACAGAAACCTCATCGACTACTTTATCCCCTTCCTACCCCTAGAGTACAGGCACGTGAAAATGTGTGTGAGGGCAGAAATGGAGGCCCGCGGTTCTCCCATCAATGAAGACATTGTCACAAGAGTGGCAGAGGAAATGACATTTTTCCCAAAAGATGAGAAAATCTACTCAGACAAGGGCTGCAAGACTGTGCAGTCACGACTAGATTTTCACTGAGCTTTTATCCAAATGGGGTAAGAGGCAATTGCAAGACTCAGCAAACCAGGGGCCTTGCCTTTCAGAAGCACTGTTGAGTACCTCTTCAGGGGTTTGCACATTTGCACCTGTGGACTTTCAGGATCTGGAAGTTTCTAAGAGCTGATTTTAAAGAGACACTGATCTGTGGAGTGCACTTGGAATTTTGCACATGGCAGAAATCCAACTGTTGATTGCAGTTGAACTTTTAACATCCCCTCCAAACTTACTGTTCCAGCCTTGACAGAAGTACCTTGGAAAGAGCTGTTACAATTTATACGTGGGTCAGTCTCACTTCACTCCATGCAACAGTTTGAAATCCATGGGACATGCTCGTTTTCTACAGTGATGTGCCCAGACTGAGCATTCAGCTTAAGCTTGCAGATTCTGCATTGCCAAAGAAGTGGGAGTATTGTACGTTAGAAATGACAAGAGTTTTCAAGGATGTGTTTTTAACCTGAGTCTTATATAATGGGAGTATAGGATGTTGCTTATTTTAAAATATGGGAAGGATATAATAGGGAATAATTGTTTATTCCTTTCTCAGATACTCTTAAATGGTATGAATCTTTATTGTTAAATGTGTGGTAATATATGGAATCTTGTAGATCAAATCGGGTCCTTGTGGAGCTGTGGCTGGTCCAGGGTGTCATCTGATATAGACACCCTGTATGGCAGCACCCTTCATGGCTGGGCTGCCCTGATCATTAGGAAATAAGACCTAGATTGCAGCCAGCATGAGTTCTGTGTCTGTCCCGTAGTTGCAGTGTGACTGCAGACAGTATTCAGAACAGTGTGCAGCCTTTCTCATATGTAAGATGTAGTAGAATGGATATTTTTACAGCATGGAAATGCCTTACACGGTATCAGACTTTTTAGTCTTAAAAAAATTCTAAGGTGAGACTTAAAAGATCTTTTGGTTCATATTCTCAAACTGGAGTTACATTTCTTTTATAACCTTCTGGGTGTCTGATCAGGAGACAAGGTTTTCTGTTTACAATGATGTAATAAACTCAACATGTTGGCCACCTTTGGACTGTTGTTAGTGATTTGTAACTTGAAAAGGCCCAGCTGATCCTGGCCCAGCGCCCTCACCCCACATAAGGTATAGACAAGAGCTTGAATTGACCTCTTGAATATGAAGTAATAAAACCTAAATTATATTATGTGAGATGTAACTTGCTAACTTTTTTTCCCCTAGTTTATTTGATAGCACTGTTGAGCTTGAATAAAGGCTGTTTAACAGCTCAGGTGTCATCAGGCTTACCATAACTTTGGACACGTCAGTTGGCAGTCTCTGCATCATGCAGAATCAATATTTACCTTAAAGGCTGTTATCCCCAAACAAATATGAAGTTGAAATTGAATTAAATGATGGATGTTTTCGTCAGAAACAGACAGACTTCTTTATAACAAATATATTCTCCTAGAGTTAATGTTGGAAGGAAATTGAGGCACTGGGAAAACATGACTCTGTTCACATTCTGAACCCAAGCAAGGGCCCACCTCAGAACCAGGAAATCTAACTGCTGGGTCTTTCTGCCTAGAATTGGTAAATAACATGAAATCCTAGTTACATTAATCAGATCTCAGCTTAATCACACTTAACCTGGCATCTGATCTCTGTTAGTAAATGTATAATACTGACTCTCCTCACAGGACTGAGGATTAGCTGATTTTCTAGAAAGTTTAATCCCTTTTTTGCCATCACCCTGCCCAGTTGACTCATTTCTTAAAATGAAAGTGCTCAAGTCCCATAAGACTTTCTAGGGCTATTTCCCAGCCTGATGCAGTCTCTACTCCATACTGCCTCATCTACAAAAATGGAACTTTCAAAAAATAAGGGGACCACTGTGCTCACTACTAGGAACTCCCAGGTACCAGAATTGTTATCTTCGAATGAAAGGATCAAACCTAATCTGTGACTCCTGTGAACAGGATCAGGCCTGGTGACTGAGTTCAAGCCAACAGCCCAGCTTTGGCTCCCAAGAGTTTAAGGCACCAGGAACTTTCTAGCACTTAGAGCCGTCCTTAGGAGGCCTGAGCAGCCCTAAAGAGAAGCCCTTGTACAGGCTGGGTAGCTGCAAGGCAGAGGGATCCTGTTAACCCAGAAGCCAACTCAGAGCTCTGCCAACCCGTCTTCTGCCTGCTAAAAAGCATCCCCACGAGCATTCTAAACAGACTCATGCTCCATAGGAGCCCTGCCTATTTGTAGGTACATATGCATGTTGCATAAAACAAGGTGTCTGGTCTCCTACAGGAGTTCCTGGGCGGCGCAAATAGTTAAATGCTCGACTACTAACCCAAACCTAAAACCCGTTGCCGCCAAGTCAATTCCAACTCATAGCGAACCTAACCAAAAGGGTGATTCAAACCCACCCAGAGATGCCTTGGAAGAAAGGCCTGGTAATCTCCTTCCAAAAGTCACAGCCATGAAAACTCCATGGAGCTCAGTTCTACTCTGTACACATGGGGTAGCCATGAGTCAGAACTGACTAGACAGCAACTGGTACTGGTTTAGGCTCCTGTAGTGCTCAGCATTCCTGCCTTGCATCTCAGCTGGGGTTATCTCTAGACTTGGATTCCATGGCCCTTGCAACTAAGTGCAGTACCCCGGACAGCTAAGCAAGGGACCAGAGGTGTCCTAGACTCCTCAAAGGGCCCTGGCATCAGACTTCATAGCTCATTCCCACGTGGACTGCATCTGTTGTCTTAATTCATAGCTTAAGCACACAAGGCTAACAGTGGAGGGCTTTATTATTTTCCCTTAAAAATGTATTCACAAATTACAAAATACAATTTTATTGTAAAGTGGTTAGCTATTTGCATTTATAAATAAAAACACTTCTCAGCAGGCTCAGGAGGGGCAGCTAAGCTTTCCCAGAGTTTCTGATTTAACATAACAAAAACCAGTGATAAAAGAGGAAGGTTTTTAAAAATACAGCAAAACTCGCCAGACAATTTAGAACCCAGTAGAGAGACAGCACATGGTTCATTCAGGAATGGAAAGTAGAGAAGGGCCGTCCTTTGAGAAGCTGAATGACTGGCAAGTGACAAGCTGAAAAAATACTTTTCTTTCAAGGAGACTCTGGTTCTTACAACTTTCAGTCAACCTGTTCACAATGTTACTAGGATCATTCCTGCTGTTCAAAATGTTACTAAGATTAAAACCCTTGAAAAGGACATTTAAGACCTAATCTGTGATGGCACACTCTAGGCACATTTGGGCAGTTTATTTTCAAAAGGACTAAGTACAGAGCAGGGTGTAGGGGAATCACAAGAGGGAGCACAGGGGTTCAGAGCCAGCAGCAGAGCTTGCACCTCCCCTGGCCTGCAGGGACCAGGAGGGAGAGGTTACCCAAACTCTCAGGACAGACTCAGGTAGAGTGGAGGTGGCTTGACAGTGAACGAGCTGAGGAATAAACACCTCGACTTCTCTCTCCTCCCTCCTGCTCAGCTCCTGCTGGGCTCCCCGTTTACCAAATCCCTCAAAAAGCTAGAGGTCAGGGAACTGTGGCTGTGGACTTTTACATGAGCAATAAATAAACTTCTATCTTATTTAAAAAAAAAAATAAAGACCTAATCTGTGACAAGACCGCACACCCTGGGAAGTTCTGATCTCCCCGCTGACATACTTGTCCTTTTATCTAAACGCTGTGTTGCCCCTTACAGTGCTGTCTGTGGTCATCCTATGACAGATGTGGTCACTGCTCCAGCCTCTGTCCCCAGCAATGCCATCCTACAGAACAAATGCCAAGGACTTGGGCTTTTTTGCAATAAAGACACTTCACGTTATATGTTATAATGATAGGAACTTAAAAAAACAACACAAAGCAAAAAACTTAAGAGTCTGAAAAGTTTCTCATAATGTTAAAAACCATTTTAAATAGTTATCGCATTTTCAGTAAAACTTACTTGTCCTTCCTTGAAACAGAAACAACTAATTAAAACATGATTTTTAAAAAATCATAAGCACTGGTACGAGGTGGCTGGGGGCTGGCTACTTCCTCCTCTGAAGGTTCTGGAGGCGGCTCCTATGTCAGTGGCTGTAAGGTTGTGATGGCCTGCACTCAGCTGAGTGAAAACAGTGCCCAGAAGAATTCCTGTCGTGTCAAACAGAAAACATGCATTTGACTCTTCTTCCAGGGAGAAGAGTGGGGAAGGGGGTGAGTTTTGAGTTCATTCTTCTCCAATGCGATGCAGACTCCTGTGGGCTCAGTCATCGTAGTAGTAATCTAACTTGGTGAACACAGTTTTGCAGCCTTTATCAGAGAAAACTCTCTCCTCTTTGGGGAAAAATGTCATCTCCTCAGCCACTCTGGTCACAATGTCCTCGTCAATTTTGTAGCCTCGGGACTGCATTTCAACTCGGATGCACATTTTCAGGTGTTTGTATTCCAGGGGGAGGAAGGGAACAAAATAATCAATGAGATTTCGGTCAATTAAGCTGCTGTGCCAGAAGCCACCTGGGAAAAAGAAAAAGATGCTGTTCATCCATCCGTCCATCCATCCACCTACCTACCCACCCATACAACACATACCTACTGAGCGTCGACCAGCTGCCAGGCTCTGGGTCAGGCCCTGGAGCTTGTGAGCAGTGAGGATGATGGATGACAGATATTCAACAGTGAGCTCACTAATAAGCAATGATAAGTTGTGATAGGTCTATGAAGGCAAAGGGCAGTGACCTGCCAGAATGGAACAGGGACACCTCACCTACACTGCAACTCCAGGAAGGCATCTCAAGATGTAAAAATTTGAGGCGGAAAGAGGTTTACAACCTCAGTGTGCCTGGGGCCAGGAACAAGCAGAGAGGCAGAGTGGGAAAAGACCCAGGTGGATAGTTTCAAAGAAAGCAAACGGTGAGAACAGTTTCCAGTGAAGGACTCCATCAGTCACTGGCCGTTACTGTGAGAAGATAAACTTGCAACTCTCACTGGAGTTTCAGCAGCTGGGCAGAAAACCACTGCCACTGCCAGTGCATCCAAACTGTACAGAGCAGGAGGCAGGGCCAAGATGGCAGAGTAGTCAGATGCTTCCGGTAGTCCCTCTTACAACAAAGACCCGAAAAAACAAGTGACTCGATTATATATGACAGTCTAGGAGCCCTGAACATCAAAGGCAAAGTTGAGGAATCAGACTGAGTGGCGGAGAGGGAGAAGACAGTTCAGAAGCAGCAAGGAGTTGCCAGACCTGACCTGGCGGGAACCAGCACCCTGCAGGCTGGATAGGCTGGCATGCAAGGTG